CAGCCCCCCCCTCTTTTCTGGCGTCGCCGCCCTGCCGAGCTCCAGGAGTTCCCAAGGAGGAAACGAGGGGAACTTGGCGGCTCGGAGGTTTAGAAGGGCGGCCGGGCGGGCGAGCGGCGGGGGAGAATAGCTGGGGCTCGAGGGGGCACCCGAGGAAGCGGATGGGCAGTAGAGCCAGTTTGGTGTAGTGGCTGAAGTGCCGCCGACTCTAATCTGGGAGAGCCGGGTTTGATTCCCCCACTCCTCCACGTGCAGCTGCTGGATGACCTTGGGCGAGCCATAGTTCTGACAAGCGCTGTTCTTGGATAAGAGCCGTTTCTGTCGGAGCTCCCTCAGCCCCACCTGCCTCCCAGGGTGTCTGTCTGTGGTGGGGAGGGGAAGGGAACAGGAGTTTGTCAGCCACTCTGAGACTCCTTCAGGTAGTGAAGGGCCATGGGGTATAAATCCAATCTCTTCCCCTCTCTCTCCTTTTCTCAAAGCAGCTCCCTCTTGACAGATTAAGCGGGAGCATTCGCTGCCAGAGTGCTACAGGAATCAGCAGCTTTAAAGGTAGGTCCATCAAGGGCTACCTCCCCGGGTGACTGAAGGGCCCCTCCGTGTTCAGAGGCAGTCGGCCCCTGAATCATGAGGGGAAAGGTGGCCTCGGACTTCTCTGCCCTGCTGTTGGCCCTCCAGAGGATCCGGCTGGCACACGTGAGACGAGATGCAGGGCTCTTTGGCTGTCCTGTACATTTTCCAGCTCTGCAGTATGCTTGGTGACATCGGAACAGCACACAGCGTTCAAAGGCAGCCTTCCCAATCAGAAAGTGGCGCCCTCTCGTGCCTTGCACCTGAGGGGCGGGGAGGGGCCCTTGTGCGTAGCCACTGGTCTGCTCTCCAAGAAACGGCAGGAGCCTTCACTTCCCGAGGCCCTGGGCCCGCTGCTGCATGACCTGGCTCTTGGGCGCAGCCGTCTCCACCCTAATCCGTGCCACCCAGCAGTTTTGCATGACTCACTGTTTCCAATGCAAGGAGGACAAATGCAAAGATAAAACCATTCCCCCCTTTGGATATATCTTTTATTGCTGCTGGCGCCACGCCTCCTTTGCCTGCAAGGACATCAGGCAGCCTGGCCAGAGCCCCGGCCCCCTGGCGCGAGAGGCTGGCTCACCCCACCCCACCCCCAGCGAATTGCCCTGTACCCTGAGATGCCCCCACCCCGCCTGCACAGCCGCTTCTGGAAGCCAAAGCACGCAGCTCCAGGACTCCCCCCACAGCCAGTTCTTTACTGGACGATCTTGGGCCAGCTGCTGCCAAGGGGTGGGTGTTGGCCCCACACCCACACCGGGGCCTGGGCCAGCTCATCAGATATAGCTCTGGGCCTGAGAGCAGAGGGGGGCAAATGGCTGGCATGGGGGGGAAGGGGGGGATTTCTGAATACCACGAAGCCAGGACCAGTTCCAGCTCTTGCCCGGGCTCGTTTTCCTTCCTGAGATGTGGGGAGGGGGGAGGGGGATGAGCAAGGGTCACTCCGTCATGCGGCACACTCGGGTCTCGAATTGCTGAACTACCGACCTTCCACAGCCGGCAGTTCAGTGTCTTAACCACTTGAGCCACTGCAGCTCCACATATTTACATTGTACACAGTGATATATATTTTTGTATGCCCACCGGGCGGCTGGCAACCCTAGCCTTGCAGGCCCTGCGGAATTGCGTTAGGTCCCGCAGGGCGCAGATGTTACTCAGTAGAGAGTTCCACCTTGCTAAGCCAGGAGGTTAAAGCATTGCTATTTGTAGAACACTCTAGGTAAGTTATGGGAGATTGACTTTCAGGTGAGACAGGTGGGGGGTGGGGAAAGAACCTAGACTCTCTCTGTCGCATTGCTATCCCCCACACACACACTTAATTTTGAGTTGTTGTTTTTTTAAAAACAAATTCTCCTGAGTCTGAATATTTTGCATTTAGCATTTATTCTGCTAGCATGTCAGCCACAAGATGGAACTGTTTCGTGGAATGCCAACATCCAGGGAGCCCAGGAGACACCCTGAAGTATACATTTGCCTTCAGACTGGTTTTCCTGTTTCTTTTTGCCTCACTGCATTTTTTATTCCCCTTCTCATCAGTTTCTCTGAGCTTCATCTGTTTATAGGAGTGGAAGGTGCCATTAATACATCACTGGCTTGGGAGGGGCCAGAGGTCAGGGCTGCCAGCAACCAATCACTGCTTGACTCGTCCACCATCTCCTTCGCTGACAAAGCGCTTCCGACCCCTAAGGAAGAAAAGTGGGAGGAGGGAGGTGAGAGAGAAGCTGGAACACCACGGCACCAGGAAGACTGCTGGCACTGCCCAATCCAACTCTGCCCACCCCTCGACCCACGGACTCACCCACCCACCGTGCCCAGCTGAGCAGTGGACCTCCACATGAGAACAGGCAGGGTTTCGTTACTTCTAAACGTAAGAAGGGATCTGACAGGTGGTTCCGATCTGTAGGCAGGAACGACCATTTTCCGCCTGTCCAGAAAAGCCTGTGAAGTCCTCAGGCAGAGTGCAGAGGGTTGGAGTAGATGACCTGCAAGGTTCCTTCCAACTCTAACATCCTATAGGATTCTATGAAACCTTTCTGGACCAGTTCAGGTGCACGGGGATGTCCCGCACCGTGTCCAGCGTGCTCCCTGGCCCAGCACTCCAGGAGGAGGAGAGTGTCCGAGGGGCAGGAGCGTACCGGGCGGGGCAGGCGTCCCTCAGCTGCTTGGTGATGACCCCCTCCTCGAAGCACAGGTCCACCAGGCGCTCCAGGATGTTGTGCGCCAGAGGAACATCCAGGCTGATGTCTCCAAGCTCATCATACACCCGCTGGAAGCCCTGGGGAAGGGGAAGGGAGCGGGGGGGGGGTCAAGACTAGAGCAAGGCTGGGCAGGGCTGCCCAAGACTGGAGCCCCCCCCAGCTGGAAATCCACAGACCTCCACCACAGGTCTCCTCTGCTACCCCCAGGCCCGTCTTCTTGTGGGGTGTTGCAATGGCTCGTGGGCTCCCTTTTCCAAGGGCTTCTTTCATCATCGGGCACCTGCGCACACTCCCCCCCTACACACACACACACAATGCTCCTACCCTGTTCATCTGGTCCAGGGTCACCAGCCCCGTCTCCCACAGCACCTTCAGCAGCTTCATCATCATGGCAACCGCCATCTCGCCCGAGGACTCCAGCACCATCACCACAGCCTGGATATGAAACCTTTCTGGACCGGTTCAGGTGCACGGGGATGTCCCGCACCTCGTCCAGCGTGCTCCCTGGCCCAGCACTCCAGGAGGAGGAGAGCATCCAAGGGGCAGGAGCGTACCGGGCGGGGCAGGCGTCCCTCAGCTGCTTGGTGATGACCCCCTCCTCGAAGCACAGGTCCACCAGGCGCTCCAGGATGTTGTGCGCCAGAGGAACATCCAGGCTGATGTCTCCAAGCTCATCATACACCCGCTGGAAGCCCTGGGGAAGGGAGCGGGGGTGGGGGGTCAAGAGCAAGGCCAGGCAGGGCTGCCCAAGACTGGAGCCCCCCCCCAGCTGGAAATCCACAGACCTCCACCACAGGTCTCCTCTGCTACCCCCAGGCCCGTCTTCTTGTGGGGTGTTGCAATGGCTCGTGGGCTCCCTTTTCCAAGGGCTTCTTTCGGGGGGGAGAGAGGGAGGCAGCCCGGCTGCGTCACTACGGGAAGGCAATATTTGGAGAGGTGGCACCGAAATGGGCCCACCAGATGAGGCCCAGGGAGGTTCCTGTGCTTCCCCAACATGGACTCCAAAACAGGACTCCATTTGATTCCCCGGAAACAAACACAAGTCTGATTCATGTCCCGGCCGCCTAAATGCCACATGGCACCCACGAATCCTTTGGAAACGCCCAGAAGCCCTTTAACACCTTTCACGTTGGCACTGTTTGGATCCGTAAGCGAAAAAACCCTACTCTCCCCCCACACATGGAAGTGCTCGACAGCAGAAGACAGGACTCGCGCAAATGGGTGGAAACGACAGGCAGAAAGGTACCGGCTGATATCAGGAAGCCCTTTCCCCAGCAAGAGTCGTTCAGCAGTGGAATCGGCTGTGTCTGGAGATGGTGAGCGCCCCCCACCCCCACCCCACTGCCTGTCTTCGAGCAGCGGCTGCCAGGGATGGCCTGTGGTTCTGTAAGGCCAAGGGGGCTGCAGAACTCCAAGGAGCCGTGGACATTGCCCCCCCCTCCCCTGCAGTCTTGCCTGCTGTGCCATCTTGGCTGCTGGCCTAGTGAAGGACACCCCTCCGGACATCCTCGGTGGCAATCGCTATGTGGGGGAGAAGTGCAGCAGGCACCCCGGCTGGGCCGCACCCTCCAAGGACACAGCAAGGCCCAGGCTCTGCAGCAGGAGAGACCAGGACCATTCCCCCCACCCCCACCCCCGATGGAGAAAGAGGCCACCGGAGGGAAGAGGGTGGGCGCTCCCGCCGTCTGTCCCAGGCTTGCACCCAAGGTCCCCGGAGGAAGCTCAGAGAGGCCTCCCCGAGGGCAGGAGCTGCTCCGTTTTCACTGGACCCCTCCCTGGTGCAAAGAGCCACCTCCACGTTCCCCTGGCCAGAGGGCAGAGCCACCTCGGGCACATGCCGAGGTCGGAAGAGGACTCCTGCCACGCCTCACCTCCTTGATAAGGTGCTTGACAGGTCTCTGGCCGCCCCCCACGCCCCAGACGTTGTCCAAGCGGTTGACGTCTTGCTTGATCCGCAGGAGGACAGCGGCGCGATCCAGGGCGGCCCTGCAGGGAGGGAGGGCGGAAGAGAGGCCTTCGGAAGGGAGTAGAGGGGATCTCCCTGCCGGCCCTCCCGCCTGGGGCTCCCGCACAGAGAGCACCCACCCGGTACCCCCAGCGGAAGGCCGGCTCTCTCACCGCGCGTGCTCACAGTCGACACGCCCCTTGTAGCGCTCGAGGAAGTCAAGTGGCAAGGCGTGGTCGGCCACGGCCCGGGCGATGAACTGGCCCAGCATCTGCGCAGACAGACAGACGGAGGGAGTTCAAAGGGCACGTGTCCTCCTCCGAGCTCCCTGCCCTCCCCTCTCCCGCCAGGGCTGGAGCCTGACCTGCGGGGCCTCCGGCGTGTCGAGAATCAGGTCGGGGAGGTCACGCAGCATCCCGTCGAACGCCGCCGCCATGTCCGCGGGGCTCAGCACCTTTCCCACCAGGTCCGACAGCAGGCGCGAGGTCAGCTCCCGGTGGCTGGCCTTGCCCTCCAGAGAGAGCGCCACGGCCAGGGAGGGCACCGCTGCCTTGTGGCCCCCCAGGTTCAGGCCCCGAAGCAGCTCCTGCCAGACACGCGGGATCTGTCAGAGGCCGGTGGCACCCAGCCCTGCCCAGGGGCGGCCCAGGAGTTCACCTCCCCCTCTCTTCCTGTGGGACCGGCCTCTGCCCGGGAGTGACCTCCCCGTGCCCCCCCCTCCGACTCACCACCACCTCCAGGGGGTCTCCATGCTCAAAGTACTCCAGCACCATGGGGTGCACGCTCTTCTTCAGCTCCCCCTCCTCCATCTCAGGCACCACCGTGGCATAGATCGTGTCGCCCTAGGGGGAGGGGCACAGAAGGCACTGGCCGGACAGCTCCCCCCTCCCCCCCCAGATGGAACCCCCTCCGACTCACCACCACCTCCAGGGGGTCTCCATGCTCAAAGTACTCCAGCACCATGGGGTGCACGCTCTTCTTCAGCTCCCCCTCCTCCATCTCAGGCACCACCGTGGCATAGATCGTGTCGCCCTAGGGGGAGGGGCACAGAAGGCACTGGCCGGACAGCTCCCCCCGCCCCCCCTCCATGGAGCCCCCTCC